TATATACTTTGTTAACTTAAATGTATACATAATGTATAAATAAACAATATAATAATAATAATATAAACTCGTAATAATATATAAACTATGCTCACATACAACCATGGTACATGTCCAAAAACATAATTTTACCTTGGTAAAAATTTTTATTAAATTTAACACAGTTAAATAAAATAACAAATAAATAAATAAAAAGTATTGCCACAATGTGTACATTAAATATAGTAACAATTTATGCTAGCACTCCAAGGTACTTCAAATAATATCATGGTATCTCATAACTTGTATTGATACTTTCATATGCACCATATTAATAAATGATCTCTTTCTGTCTCACTCTATATGTGTGCTGTTTTATGCTATCACATTGTCCCCCTATAGCAGTCATCTATTATTTATGTCAAATTGCTTAATGTCTAGGTCTGTCATTGATCGAAACCACATAAATGTGCAAGAGCTTCACTGCCGTGTGTTGAGTGCAGGGCCATGCTGCAGTTTCTGTGTGTGTGTGTGTGTGTCTGAGTGTGTGTTTAATGGTCTGGGACTGAGTAGTGTCCGAACGAACTCTGTCTAAGATCGACTCCCTCATCTCTCCACGGTAATGCTGACCGAGGGAGAAATAGACCAACACTTTGTGTAATAGCTGTGCTGCCTATGCATATGATTACACACTGAATCATCACATACGTCTATTTTCAGCAGGGTCACTATATTTCACATAATATACTTGCACCTCATGAGATCTCTCAGCATTGAAGCTCTGATGTGGAATCAGATAATGCCACTTATGCACTTCTGGCTTCATGTTAAAAAGCAAAACGGATCCAAATCCAGACTGAAGGTATTTAAAAAGGTCATGTCATGAAAAGTCAAATCTGCCTCCATCTTTTAGGGTTCTATGCAAATGAGTGATCCCAATGTTAGGAAAGTTTATTTTTAACAAGGTATTTTAACCGTTCATGTGGAACAGCAGCAGATTATTTCAGCGTGGATTGTTTTATGAATCTGTCACAAAGAGTCTGCAAAGACGATGTTACTGAAAGATTGGGCAGAGCCAATTACATTATACTTAACAATAAGCAAGGATACCTAATTCACCAGCAAAGACGTTAACTAATAATAACAAAGAATTTTTCAAATAGTTCTTAAATAATTCATATATCAACAAATATGTAACATATGGGAAACACATTTTTTTTAAGTATTGTTTACAAGTAATTCTTAACTGTATCAAAAATTTATTGTAAGGGTGGAAAAATAACTGTTTTCTATTACATTATACTTAACAATAAGCAAGGATACCTAATTCACCAGCAAAGACGTTAACTAATAATAACAAAGAATGTTTTCAAATAGTTCTTAAATAATTCATATATCAACAAATATGTAACATATGGGAAACACATTTTTTTTAAGTATTGTTTACAAGTAATTCTTAACTGTATCAAAAATTTATTGTAAGGGTGGAAAAATAACTGTTTTCAAGAAAACATGACTAAAGAACTGTATAGAGTCTCTGAAGTGGCATTCGCAGAAAATGTGAACTTTTAGTACAATTTTCCACATAATAATTGTTTTTCAAGAAAAACAAAAAGAGGGACTACATGATAAACTGACCACAAAATAAAATAACATAAAATAAAATAAATAATAAATTAAACAATAAATTAAATTAAATAAAGCTTATGACCCCTTTAAAGATGAACAAGAATTTCCAACAAGTCAGTGCTTCCACATCAGTACCCTGAAATACAAGACCGAAATCGCTATTAAAAGGGGCTGATGCATGTCAGCTTATGGAATATTGCTATGAATATTTCAGTGCTGTTATGTTTAAGGATTTCAAAGAGACCCTTTTTAATATCCATTTATGGTGCAACAACATTCTATTTAACAGGCTGAAAAGAAAACCCACAACGCCTCAGTTTCTGGTTCTATATTCCAAAGAGCTAATTTACAGCCTATACAATTCCGATGTGAAAACGTACCATAAACCATAAATCGTTTACCTGTTACTGTTGCCCTCTGTAATCCAAGCCAAACGACCTTAAGCACTGACATTATAACGTGTTCCCAGTAATGTTGCAGTTGTGTGATTTTCGTAAGATTACAGAAAAGACCTGGCAACCTCTGCGCTTTAAGCTAAATCCTCTATACAGTTGGTTGTGTAGGTGTCTTGGTGTGGGAGTAATCACCCTTTGCCTTCATGAACATAACATATTAGCTTAACGGCGTAGTGCGGCACACGAGGCAGGGTTGTGACAGTATTAAAGAGGAATAATTACCAGCTAGCCTGGATTGCAGTATAAAGTGTCATTTGAAGCCACTCTCTGAGCGAATCAAGTGCCCTTTTCACTGTAATTGTTGCACCATGGGACATATGCTAATG